ATAAGAAAAGAAGCTAACTACCATTCAACTCTACCACTGTTGCCATTTTGAAGTGTGACAAAGTATTTGCTCGTGTGTTTAATATACACATATATTAAATACAGATTATTGGGTTAGACAATTCTGTGCTTTGCTTTTTTAATATGTAATTTTACATGCACGTGTGTTTACCCATGGCATTACAAACTCATTGTAAGGGTCACTGTTAATAGTGGTATAAATGATTTCATTATATTTAGCCAGTATCCTCATGGTTGCCCACTTAGCTTGTTTATCTCTTCTTTTGCTATTATAAACGCTACTGCAATGAACATCTTCATGCATAAGGCATGACCCAAATGCAGGTTTATTTCCTGAAGATAAATTCATTATTAGACTGTAAAGTCCAAAGGGGCATCTTCTCTTGGAATGTGAGAGAGAGACAAAGAAACATAGAGACAAAGATAAAGAGACAGACAGAGACAAAGAGACAGAGACAGAAAGAGACAGAGAGAGACAAAGACAGAGAACAGAAGGAGAGAGACAGGGAAAACAGAGAGAAGAGACAGAGAGACAGAGGCAGAGATAGAGAGACAGAGACGGACAGAAAAGAAAGGTGAGAAAGAGGAGAGAAAGAACCAGTGAATGACCGCAAGGCTACAATAATTTCTTTTTTTTTTTTTTTTTTGTTAAGACGCAGTCTCACTCTGTCCCCCAGGCTGGAGTGCAGTGGCACGTTCTTGGCTCACTGCAACCTCTGCCCCTCAGGTTCAAGCAATTCTGCTTCAGCCTCCTATATAGCTGGGATTATAGGTGCCCATCACCATGCCCCACTAATTTTTGTATTTTTAGTAGAGACGGGGTTTCGTCATGCTGGCCAGGATGGTCTCAAACTCCTGATCTCAGGCGATCCACCTGCCTCGACCTCCCGAAGTGCTAGGAGCCACCGCGCCCAGCCGAGACTACAATAATTTCTAACCATCAGTACCTATTGACCAACTGCTCTCCACAGGATTGTATTAATGTATACCCCCAGCAGCAAGAGGCGTCCATTTTAGCACAATACCTGCTGGGGGGAATCACTGCAATTTTCAGATCCTTTCTAACTCGGCTGACCCAGGGAAGGAACCCATGGGCCTAATCTGCATTGATCTGATTCCTAGCGAAGCTGGATGTTTTTCTCTGCACCAAGGGTTTGAAGGCAAACTAACAAACAGGAGCAACCCTCACCTGTGATGGGGAGGACCACGAAGCCCCTGGCCACGGGCTGGCACATCCAGCAGTCAGCGGCAGTGACCCAGACGGAGACCGGGAATTCCCCGGGCACGTGGCCGACCACATGGATGGTGGAGCTGAGACCCTTCTCCGTCTTGCCAGTGAGCACCAGCGGGGTGTGGATCCAGTGGAAGCGGTAGAGGTGGGCGTCGGCGGACAGGGCCAGGCTGCTGTTGTCCTTGGCCACCAGGCTGGCCGAGATGGTCACCTCCGCTCCCGTGGTGGCAGGGCTATCGGTGGTGAGATTGAGTTCATACAGGCCTAGGAGCCCAGAAACAAAGACTGTGTTTCAGGAGGGTATGTGGCAAGGAGCCCCACAGCCACCTCTGGGCTGGCATCAACTATTCTATTTCCCAGGTGGAGAAACTGAGGCTCAGGCAGCTCAAGTGACTTGCCCAAGGGTCACTCAGCCAATTCAACATCAAACTGAGGTTCAAACCTGGGTCCCACTGACTCCAGATAACAGTCTTTTCAATGTTATTTCCCCTTCATTCCTTCCCTCCTTCCTTCTTTCCCTCCTTCCTTCATCCCTCCCTCCCTCTCTCCCTTTCTTTTCTTCCTTCCTTCCTTTCTGTTTTTTTTTCTTTCCTTTCTTTCCTTCCTCCCTTCCTTCCCTCCCTCCCTCCTCTCATTCCCTTCCTTTCCTTCCTCCCTCCCTGTCTCCCTCCTTTCTTTTCTTCCTTCTTTCCTTTCTTTCTGTTTTTCTTTCTTTCCTTCCTTTCCTCTCTCTCTCTTTCTTTCTTTCCTTCTTTCTTTTTTCTTCCTTCCTTCCTTTTCTTTCTTTCTTTTCTTCCTTTCTTCCTCCTCTCTCTCTCTCTTTTCCTTCCTTTCTCTGGATCTCACTCTGTCACCCAGACTGGAATACAATCATCACAGTTCACTGCAGCCTCCACCTTCCAGAATCAAGTGATCCTCCTGCCTCAGCCTCCCAAATAGCTGAAACCGCAGGCACACACCACCACACCCAGCTAATTTTTTATTTTATTTTTTGTAGAGATGGGGGTCTATGTTGCCCAGGCTGCCCAAATTATATTTTCTTTTCATGCCAGCCAGGCAGGGCCTTGGTTAGTGGCTACTCTTCTGGGCAGGCCACACAGAGAGCATTTCTACCGTTCCCCAGAATCCTTGTGGTTTTGTTTTGAGACAAGGTCTCCCTCTGTCATCCAGGCTGGGGTGCAGTGGCATGATCATAGCTCACTGCAGCCTCAAACTCCTGGGCTCAAGTGATCCTCCCACCTCAGCCTCCTGAGTAGCTGGGACTTGTAGGTCCAAGTCACCACGCCTGGCTGATTTTTTCTTTTTTCTTTTTTTTTTTGTAGAGACGGGATCTCACTATGTTGCCCAGGCTGGTCTCGAACTCCTGGCTTCAACCACTCCTTCTGCCTTGGCCTCCCAAAGTGCTGGGATTACAGGCATGAGCCAGCAAGCTCAACCACATTGCCCAAGATCTACTGGACAGTGCTGGTCTTATGCCCCTGGATTCCTCCTCTCCTCACTCCTCCCTCTCTGTCAGGGTTAAAGGATCCAGCTGTCGGCCAGGCACCATGGCTCACACCTATAATCCCAGCACTTTGGGAGGCTGAGGTAAGCTGATTACTTGAACTCAGGAGTTCGAGACCAGCCTGGCCAACATGGTGAAACCCCGTCTCCACTAAAAATACAAAAAATTAGCGGGGCGTGGTGGTGCATGACTGTAATCCCATCTACTCAGGAGGCTGAGGCAAGGGAATCGCTGGAACCCAGAGGCAGAGATTGCAATGAGCCGAGATCGAGTCACTGCACTCCAGCCTGGGCGACAGAGTGAGACTCCGTCTCAAAAACAAAAGAAAACAAACGATAAAAACACTTCCCTGTACCTCTCACCCCCTCAGCTCTCTCCCAACAGCCTGAGTCCACTGTTGTCACAACTCCACGTGGGAACGAAGGTTTCTTTACCTCTCCTACTACGCTTCAAAATCCTTTAGAGCAGGGGTCATCGCCATCGTCCCTGTGACCAGCACAACGCTTGGCACATAGCAGGTGTTTGGTACTGCTGTTGCCAAGAGGCACCTGGAGAGCAGGTGCAGCAGAGGGACCAGCCCACCTGGCCCGGCCCGGGGAGACTGTTCACCTGGGCAGCACTGACTGAGTCCCTTCCGTGGACCCCATCCCTACTGTGTCGGGAGGACCCAGAAATGCAGAACATGCCCCTCCCCCAAGGGACCTCACAGGAGACCTGCTGGGCTTTCAACAGGAAAGGCTGGCCAGGCGCAGTGGCTCACACCTGTAATTCCAGCACTTTGGAAGGCCGAGGTGGGTGGATCACCTGAGGTGGGGAGCCTCACCAACATGGAGAAACCCCTGTTTCTGCTAAAAATACAAAATTAGCCAAGCGTGGTGGCATGCGCCTGTAATCCCAGCTACTCGGGAGACTGAGGGAGGAGAATCGCTTGAACCCAGAAGGCAGAGGTTGCAGTGAGTGAAGATCGTGCCACTGCACTCCAGCCTGGGCGACAAGAGTGAAACGCTGTCTCAAAAAAATTTTTTTAAAAAGGCCAATTATTTTACCTCGTGGTTTTCAACTGTTTCAACTATTTTACCTTGTTGTTTTTCTTTCACAAATTTTCATTAGAACCCTTACCCTCTCTCTGCCACGCTATTATGAAGGGGGAGGGGGATGAAAACTGTTGGATAATATTCAACCCCCTTAGCTGCCCACGTCCCACCTGTCCCTCGACAAGTCTCCAATCTGGGTCCTTTTACAGTTCCCAAAATGTGACCGAAAGGTGGGTGCTGGCCTTCTGGCAACGGAGATGTGGGGAAAGTAGATGCACGACCGGGTGGGCACAAGGTCCCCCCGCAAGTCTCCTCGGGAACCTGTCAGCTCCGGGTCCATTTTAGGAAATCACTTCCAGAAGAAATAGCACTCTGGTCTCCCAGGCTCTAAAATCGCATCTCGGTCAGGCACGGTGGCTCATGCCTATAATCCCAGCACTTTGGAAGGCCGAGGTGGGCGGATCACCTGAGGTCAGGAGTTCGAGACCAGCCTGGCCAACATGGTGAAACCCCGTCTCTACTAAAAATACAAAATTGGCCAGGCATGGTGGCGGGCGCCTATAATCCCAGCTACTTGGGAGGCTGAGGCAGGAGAATCACTTGAACCCAGGAGATGGCAGTTGCTATGAGCCGAGATTGTGCCACTACACTCTAGCCTGGCCAAAAAGAGCGAAACTTCATCTCAAATAAATAAATAATAAATCAAATAAAATCACATCTCCCCAAAGCCAGTACCAACAGGGTGGAAAACCCCTCTAGATGAGGTGGCATTTTAAAGTAAAAAGGCTTCCTATCCTGTGCTCCCTGGGGACTGGGGGTTGTGGCTCGATGACTGATCCTGATACATCCCCACCTCCCTGCCTCGTCCTCCCCTCCCTTAGCAGGTGCATGGTCCCCAGAGATCTGACAGATGCGCGGGCCACCCTCGCACAGTTTCCAGGGCAGGGCTAGCCCGGGAAGTAGAAGCAGGAATCGAGGGTGCAAGGGGCACCCCCTCCAGTGCTCAGGCAACTCTGAGATTATTTTTTTCAGCTGCATCTCATTCATTTCGAAGCAACATCACCTGTCCCCATGGGGGACTCCGGCTCCAGCTTTCCTCAGGACCACATCACACCTTCACTGCTTTGGCCCACATTACACATTTCCCTTTCTTTCAGGGCAATTTCTTAAATTATAAAGGCATTTGAGGCCGGGCCTAGCCAGCTCACACCTGTAATCCCAGCTCTTTGAGGCCAGAGGGTCACTTGAGCCCAGGAGTTTGAGATCAGCCTGAGCAACACAGTGATACCCAGTCTCTACAAAAAATAATTTAAAAAATTAGCCGGGCATGGTAGCGTGCACCTGTTGCCCCAGCTACTTGGAAGGCTGAGGCAGGAGGATCTCTTGAGCCCAGGAGTTTCAGGTTGCAGTGAGCTATGATGGCACCCCTGCACTTCAGCCTGGGCAACGAAGTGAGAGACCCTGTCTAAAAAAAATAAATAAATAAAAATCAAGTCATTTAAGTCAAGATGCTGAGAGCTGGTCACTTCTGAGAGAATGCTGGCATTGAAAAGGGGACCTGCAGTGTCTTAACCCCAAAGAGGGAATTCCAGGTGCTGTTGTGGGAGCTTTTTCACGCAAATACAGTGTGTATATCACATTGAGGGACTTGAAGCCCGTGTGGGCTACTGCTGCTGCCTGAGGCCACCCAACCAGTCTGTACCACCCTGGTTAGGCTCTGCTCTCCCTCCCCTTTGACTGGGAGGCAGCATTTGACCAGGCTGTGGACAGAGAGGTGCATGGATGAGAGACCACCTCCTCCCTTATCCCCCTAACTCCTGGCACCCTCCTCTCCTTCCCATCCCCTACCCACCACCCCAGCCCAGGAGCGTGGGCCTGAGCGAGGCTGGCAGGTGGCAGGGACATTCGGCTGCATGCTAATGGCCAAACAGCATCTGCAGTGAGACAGGCGCATGTCATCACGCAGATCGGTTGCCAGGGGAATGGATCAGGAGGGCAGCCGGCTGGGACTGGGAGGGGGGATTGGGGGGGCAGGGAAGGGCTGTGTCTGCTGCAGACGTTGCTGCAGACACTGGCCCAGCTCATGGGAGCCCGCCCCCCCGCTCCACCACCACCTGCCGGCTCCAAGGACACTTTTTTCTCAGTCTATTTTTTCAAAATCAGTTTTGTCACAGCCCCTGGGTGATGCTGCCCCTGTTCCTCAGGGGTCTCAGGGATTGCCAGGACATCCAGGGTGGAAATGGACCAGGAAGCCTTTGCCAAATGTGGCTGAAGGAACCAATCACAGGGCCTGCTGCTCTACCCATCAAATTCATCTTTCCAGGCCGGCGCGGTGGCTCATGCCTGTCATCCCAGCATTTTGGGAGGCTGAGGCGGGTGGATCACCTGAGGTCAGAGGTTCGAGACCAGCCTGGCCAACATGGCGAAACCCCACCTCTACTAAAAATACAAAAATTAGACAGGTGTGGTGGCAGGCGCCCGTAATCCCAGCTACTTGGGAGGGTGAGGCAGGAGAATTGCTCGAACCCAGAAGGTGGAGGTTGCAGTGAGCCAAGATTGTGCCACAGCACTACAGCCTGGGTGACAGAGCAAGACTCCATCTCAAACAAACAAAAAATTCATCTTTCCATGTTTGGGAGTCCAGGTGACATGACTTTGGGGTATGGAGCAGCCAAGGCAGAGGTTTAGGGGACTCCACGGGCCCCCCAAGTCACCCAGAGCTGAAAAGGCAAAGCAAAAAGAGATGGGGCAACCACCCCAAAGCTTGGCTCATGGAAGAAACACCTACCTTTTCCAACAACACAGCATGTGTGGCCCTGAACATTCTAGAAAATGGCTACCTCAGTCCTTTCACACAGAATATGCAGACTACCCAAAACACTCTAAAGTCTGGGTAACACAAGCCGGAATTAATTAATAGTCCAGTACATGGACTTCTGATTTACAAATCCCTGATTCATGCAGACTCCAGAAAGGGGAAGGGTAGAAAAGTCTACCCCACGTGTGAGGGAGAAGATATATTTCCCAACTCCACTCCCAGCCACTGTGATTTTGACCACATCGAGGGTGCAATTGGCTAGAATGGGAATCACACATGATTTCCAAATAATTCACTTTTGTTATTTTCTTTTGTTCTTTTTCTTTTGCAATTGAGGACACATTGAAAAATCTCTGGACAGAAATAAACCTGATGGACAAGAGATCCCTTTTCTGTATTTCCAGGAGGAAATAGGTGATCTTGTCCAAACGCAATGCCCATAAAATTCATCTAATTCATCCCTGAGTTGCAGGTTTTCTTTTACCTCGTGGTTTTTCTTTCACAAATTTTCATTAGATCCCTTGCTCTCTCTCTCTACTGCTCTTTTATGAGGGGGGAGGGGGATGAAAAGCGTCGGATGGTATTCAACCCCCTTAGCTGCCCACGTCCCACCTGTCCCTCGACGAGTCTTCAATCTGGGTCCTTTGATGGTTCCCAAAATGTAGCAGAGAGGTGGGTGCTGGCCTTCTGGCGGTGAGGAAGTGGAGGCAGTAGACACACGACCCTGCCCCCCTACACACACCCCGCCCACACACACCCCCCAGCAACCTGTCAGCTCCGGGTCCATTTTGGATATCACCAGCAGAGACGAAATGGCAGCCTGGCCTCCTGGGCTCCAAAATCGCATCTCCCCAAAGCCAGCACCAACGGGGTGAAAAACCCCTCTAGATGAGGCGACATTTTAAGGCAAAAACATTGCCCATCTTGTGCTCCCTGGGGGCCTGGGGGATTGTGGTGCCATGATGGACCCTGGCGCATCCCCACCTCCCTGCCTCATCCTCCCCTCCCTTAGCGGGTGCATGGTCCCCAGACATCGACGGATGCGCCGGCCACCCCCGCGCGGTTTCCAGGGCAGGGCCAGCCTGGGGGGTGGGGGGTGGAAGCAGGAATCCAGGGGGTGCGGGGAGCCCCCTGCAGTGCCCAGACGACTTTGGGAGAAAAGGGTGAAAGGAGAGGGGAGAGGGCGCTGCAGCGGCCTCAGCCGAGGAGGGAGATGCGCTCAGGGCGCACGGTGCCACCTCCGCAATCCCGGATCCCGGGCCCACCCGCCCGCGGAGACGGTTCCAGGCCCCGGGCGGGCTGCCCAGCGCCTTACCTGCGGCCACCCCTGCCGGGGCCCAGGGCAGGAGGCAGGAGAGCCATAGGATGCGGCCGAGGCGCGACCACACTGCCCGGGCCATGGCGGGGCCCGGAGCGGGAGAAACGTGGGACGGACGCGGAGGGAATGCAGCTCGAGCTGGAGAACGGCGGCGGCCGCTCCTTGTGGCGCGCAGCGCGGGCGGTGCGGGGAGGTGCGGGCGCCGTGCTCGCTCGTCCTCGCCGGGGGACGCTCTGTCGCTGCGCGCCGCCGCCGCCCACAGCCTGCTGCGCGACCCCGGCCCACGTCAGCCTCGCCGCGCGCCCTCCTCCTCCCTCCTGCCGCCCCTTGCTCCCGCGTCCCTCTCCACCGCCGCGTCCTCCCTCCCAGCGTCTCTCCCCACGGCCGCGCCCCCTGCCCTCCAGGAGTCCACGATCGCCCCTCCCAGTTTGCCTCCCCTCTAGGGGTTCCCGAGCTCCCTTCCTGCGCCCTGGCTCCTCCCCGCACCGCCACCCTCCAACCCAAATCCACCCCCGGCCGCATCCTTCCCCTCCACTACCCGAGTCCACGCCCCCCGCACCTGCATTTTTCCCTTCCCCGGAGCCCCTCCATGTCCGATACCGCCCACTGACTCAGCGTCCCCAGGGGTGTGAGCTGCGCTGCAAGTCGCCTGCAGGTCCCTTGCGGCTCTCCTCCAAGTGCCTTCTCTCTGCATGTTCGTGGCTCCGAGATGCTGCTCCTCATTCAAGAACTGTTGAGTGCTAAGGTGTGCCAGGCGCTGGGCGAAAGGCCTGGAAAGGGTGAAAGACCTCGAAATTCCCCTTGCTGTTGCTGCTGCTGCTTCTCTTCTTTTCTTTTTCTTTTTTTTTTTTTTTTTTTTTTTTTTTAATCTTGAGACAGTCTTGCTCTGTCCCAGGGTGGCGCTATCTCGGCTCACTGTAACTTCCGCCTCCCGGGTTCAAGCGATTTTCATGTCTCAGCCTCCTGAGTAAGCTGGGATTACAGGTGCCCGCCACCAGGCCTGGCTAATTTTTGTGTTTTTAGTAGAGACGGGGTTTCACCATGTTGGCCAGGTTGGTCTCCAACTCCTGGCCTCAAGCGATCGTCTCGCCTCTCAGCCTCCCAAAATGCTGGAATTACAGGTGTAAGCCACTGTGCCCAGTCTCTTGCCCCTTCTTGAAAGAGGGGCCTGAGCGCCTGGCCCCTGCACTGGGCTTGATGTCATCCCCTGTTTACCCTCTCACAGCTGCTGTGAGATGGGGCTCCTGCTCATATCTGGGCCCAGGGCCACTTCTTTGTCACTGAGGGCCTTGTGGGAGTCAGGCAACTGCGGTGAGGGGTGACCGGCCTACACGGTTACTGCCATTTGCCTTAGAGAAGCAGGGCTGGGCTCTGCTAGAAGCTGAAGGGGCCTGGCTGGCCTTAAAGGCTGGAAGCCCGGTGGGTTCTGGTTCCAGCTATGCTTCTGCTTTGCTACAAACCTGGGCGAGGGATCCTCCCACACAGTGAGGGCCTTTGACCTCCTCTCTGGTTTGTGGGGCACTGATGGACCATCACTGCACCACCCGGTGCACTGACATCAAGGCGTCTAAAGCAGGGGTCTCCAAGCCCCTGGTCGCCAGTACTAGTCCATGGCCTGTTAGGAACTGGCTGCACAGCAGGAGGTGAGCAGGGCCTGTGAGCCACACTGAGCTCCACCTCCTGGCAGATCAGCAGGGCATTAGATTCTCAAAGGAGTGCAAACCCTACTGTGAAATGCTCAAGTGAGGGATCAAGGTTGTGTGCTCCTTATGATAATCTAATACCTGATGATCTGTCACTGTCTCCCATCATCCCCAGACGGGACCATCTAGTTGCAGGAAAACAAGCTCAGGCTCCCACTGATTTTACATGACGGTGAGTATGTAATCATAATAGAAATAAAGTATACAATAAAAGTAATGCACTTGAATCACCCCGAAATCATCCCTCCAACCCCTCATTCGTGGAAACATTGTCTTTGGTTCCAAAAAGGTTGGGGACTACTTGTCTAAAGGGCCCCTGGCTCTGGGATAGCTGTGAGTTTCCCTAAGAATGGGCCCCACCAGCCCCACTGCCATGTTCAGGGAATGGAAGGAGAATAGATTTGAGTGAAAAGTTAAAAGGGCTAGACAGGGCCGGGCGCGGTGACTCACACCTATAATCCCAGCACTTTGGGAGGCCGAGGCGGGTGGATCATGAGGTCAGGAGTTGAGACCAGCCTGACCAAGATGGTGAAACCCCATCTCTACTAAAAATACAAAAATTAGCCAGACACGGTGGCAGGCACCTGTAATCCCAGCTACTTGGAAGGCTGAGGAAGGAGAATCGCTTGAACCTGGGAGGTGGAGTTTGCAGTGAGCCAAGATTGTGCCACTGCACTCCAGCCTGGACGACAGAGCAAGACTCCATCTCAAAAAAAAAAAAAAAAGTGCTAGACAGATGTCACCCCCTAGTGGCATCAACTGCCACGGTGGTGATAAATACCAGACCTAGGAACAAGGAGAATTTGGATTCTCCCTGAGAGTTACAGGACCCTGGAGAAGTCACTTTCCTCTCTGCTAATTTTTTTAAAAATTATTTTTTACAGAGATGGGATCTTGCTAGGTTGCTCAGACTGGTCTCAAACTCGTGAGCTCAAGCGATCCCCCTGCTTCAGCCTCTGGAGTAGCTGGGACAACAGGCATGAGCCACCATGTCAGGCCCCCTTTTTCTTTAAAATGGGCATCATCATAGTCCCAACACAATGAGACTATTGTAAAGATAAAAGGAATTAACATGTAGAACAGAGCTTAGGACATAGTAAAGGGTTCAATCAGTGTTGGGTGTCAAATAGCAATTGCTGAAGGACTTCGGAGACATTGGCTTGTTCAGCAGGAGTTTGAAGCGCTTGAGAAGAAAATAGTCAGGGTTGCAAAGTTGCAAATCTTTAAGACTGTTTAATATAATTGGAAGGTCAGGTTGCTCCTGCGTTTTAAAATGTACCAAATAGAGTAAGATGTATTGTTTCTAAAATGTGTAACTTTATTTCACTGAGTAAGAATTTTACAGCAGCCACAGTGTTATCTGTGTTATGGAAGCCACCTTCAAGGCCACCCTGAAATTGATGCTGATGCCACCCTTTGGCTACTTCCTGTTTTTCACTCAGGATTTTCTTTTTTTTCTTTTTCTTTTTTTTTTTT